AAAAAAAAAAAAAAAAAAAAAAGAAAAAAAAAAGAAAGAAGTTAAGACTCACTTGCGAAGAACAAACAGGTCTGGCTTTCCCCATGCAAGCGCTTCAGTAGACTTATCCACTTGTGGATTTGCGTATGCTGAAATCACAGCATCACTTGGAAACGAAGAACTTATATGCCAGTTTTTGCTCACGTTCCTCTGCAAAACTCATTATTTAAAAGAAAAAAAAAAGAAAGGCACACAAAAGTCAAGCCAGCTTAAGGGTATGTTTGATAAATTTTCTCAATCCATACTCAAAATCCAACTCAACTTTAACCAAACCCCACTATCCTTAATATTATCAATATAATTAAACAATATTAATCAATCGTTCTTACACATTACATCTTACCTACTTATACTGAAATACATCAAATCAACTTTAATTATTTTATTTTAAACATTTCATTTTTTAAAAAATTAAATTTGGTTAACAAAAAACTCATCTTGAGCTGATATATTTGTATCCAAGCACGCCATAAATATGCGAAGACAAGAAAAATGTCAATCACTTGTATTGACGGGGTAGAAAAATAACGACATGAATGTGACTTACATGTTTATCCATGAAAATCTGCTTTACACCAGCATTGTCAAATTCTACATTGTTGCTTGAGCAACTCTTCACATTCTCACCTCCCTTTGGTCCCTTCTTTCTTGAAGTGCTCCTTGAATCCACATCTAATTTACCAAGAATTGTAGGATCTGGAGACTCAATCCACTCTCGAAATTCACGGAGACCATCTTTTCCAGGAAATGCATTCACAACCTCAATTGCATTGACAATGCCGATGCCACTGTAACATAATATCATCATATTAAAATACGCATTGTACATTTTTCATTTTACTGCATGCTTGTTTAAAAATTAATCCTCTCAGAATGAGTTTTTTCGATTAACCAAAGTTAATTTCGAAAAAGTTAGATGATTAGTTGTTAGTAGGATTTTGATTTTGATTAAAATAATATTTAAAATAAAATAATTAGAGGTGATTTGATGTAAAAGTATGAGAGAAGTGATGTGCACTGATAGTTAATTATGTGAGTGGATGAATAGTGAATTAAAGTTTATGTGATGTGGAAGAATGTGATTGGTTTATATTATTTAATTATATTGATAATATTGAGGATAGTGGGGTTGAGTTAAAGTTGAGTTAGATTTTGAGTATGAATTGAATGTGAATGAATTATTTTATAAACAAACATGCTCTCGAGCAAATGAAACCAAGGATTACCTAATGCCTTCAGTATAGTCACTCCCAAGAAGCAGTGCCATGTGTATCAATTTCTCTCTATCTAACCCAAGCTCATTCTCAATGTCCTAAAAAAACAATTTAATTATCAAAACCTATAATAAAGGTAAAAACAGACAATTGCTAATAGTATTTAATGTAACGCTGTCAGAGCCTAATGAATATGTGAATCCAACCGAACGAAACCCATCAGATGATTAATAGTAGCACACCTTCATGAAGTATGTTTCCACATATTTGCGATCATCAAAGATGTTTTTGTACACACTGTTTGCCCCGAACAAGAACGCATCAGAATCATCAGTCACCACACCATCAAC